AGGTTATTCATATTTTATCAAGATTAGCAAAAGTCCCATCATTTACACATGTATCTGAAGAATGGACGGCCACACAGGAAAGGTGTTTTTAATCACCGGTAAGACAAACTGAAATTATTTTAAAATACGAATATGTCAAATTGAAAGACTGTACATAGCGAGAAATATCGATAGTAATATTGTCTTATAGGTGCTAGCTCAGGTATCGGGGAGGGCATCGCCGTCCACCTGGCTAGGTGTGGAGCAAGTTTGTCACTGACGGGAAGAAATGAGGTCAATCTACAGACTGTAAAGGAAAAATGTCTGAAGGAAGGTTTATCACCGGAAAAAATAAGCCAATTATTCAACAAAATAACTCATTACTGTATAGTGAAAGTGTCCGAAAAAGCCAGGGTCTTTTACCGGGAAAAGTAAGCCTGTTATTGAAAATTTATAAAGGATGAGAGTACTTTTTACATTTTCTATAATAGGCTTACTTTTCCCGATGAGTGCACTTAAAGATTTACGAGAATTGCGTGTAAATAAACTTTAAACACACACTGTTCTTTTAATTGCAGGAATGAATAACATCTGATCATGATTTAAAAACAACAGAAACGACCGAAAAATAACCAAAACACAGCGTTTAGTGCAAGTTTAATTACTATTTTACAGGCGTTTTAAACCATTTTTTATCCATAGATACTTCTTTCCGTGGGTGACATTTCCTGCAGAGAATTCAGATGGTCACTAGTGGATCAAACAGTAAAGAAATTTGGAAAGCTTGATGTTCTGGTAATTATTTATATACGTTTATAAGGTATTGTAGCATCAAATGTAAAATACAATATACTTAAAGTTTGTTATCTCCAAAAAATGTACTCTTTTCCAACTGACTCTAAATCCTTCTACATATCTTACTTCACTTCTAAAATGACAACATAACTATAGGGACTTGTCTTTCTAATTATTAAACGAAAAATAAACATAGTAATCGTTTTCATGAAGAGATGCGACCGCCTTTTTTAAATTTATTAAATCAGTATGAATCACAAGTACTTATAAATATTTTTTTTATTTTTTTCTTTTATCTCACTTTTGCTTTTATTATATTTTTTTTTTGAGATTTGAAATTATATAATGAGGTCATCTAAAAAAAATATATTGATTGAAACCATCTTAAATCATCATAACAATGATTAAACTGTCACTAATTCGGACACATATTTGCACCGATTTATAAGCAGGTGAATGCCAAATCCCATCAAAATAACTGCACAGAAATACAACTGACTAATTTTGGACTTTTACAAGAAGCACCGACTTGGACATTTAAACGTGTATTTTGTATGGAGGTACAGAATTCATAGTACATAAGAAAACCTTTCTAGTCGTTATTATGTTCCCCAAACGGAGTTTGGGAACATATTGTTTTTACTCTGTTTCTTATTATTATTATGTTCCCCAAACGAAGTTGGGGAACATATTGTTTTTACTCTGTTTCTTATTATTATTATTCTTTTTTCTTCTTATTTCTTCTCCGGTACTTTTTTGTCCGGAAGTGTTCTCAGAAACTGTTCACCAAACTAAGTTAAAACCTTTTTAGGGTTAGTAGGCATGTTGTGTAGATGTGCTGAACGAAGGTCATTTTGTGCGCATTCGCATGCACGTGCGGGCGCGTGCAATGAGTAAAATGACTGATATATTTAATATGGTTGTAATTTTTATATTTTTTTATAAAATGTTTTGAAACTCATTATATAAAGATATATAAGATGTGTAGATAAGATGACATGGTCAAATTTGCATGAACTCACGCGCATGCACGTGCGCTTTGCTCTGATTGGCTGAAACAGAAATCTTAATATCTTTTTTGTTTTATGATGAAATGCTTTGAAATTTATAACATAGTCATTCATTATGATGTACTACAATATGATATATAATTTTTTTCATGAAATCACGCGCATGCACGTGCGCTGCAATCTGATTGGCTTAAACTTTAAATGGCTATAACTCCCTTGGTTTTCAACCAAACAGCATAAGATTTAGAACTTAGATAGACATAAAGAACTCCTACAAGATGGTATGGTCACCATTCACATGCATGCACGTGTGTGCACGTGCGCTTTGCTCTGATTGGGTGAAACAAAAATCTTAATATCTTCTCTGTGTTCTTGATGAAATGCTTTGAAATTTAAAACATAGGCATACTTTAAGATGTCCTACAATATGATATATAATAATTGTCATGAAAACACGCGCATGCACGTGCGCTGCAATCTGATTGGCTTAAACTTTAAATGGCTATAACTCCCTTGTTTTTCAACCAAACAGGATGGGATTAAGAACATAGACAGATATAATGGACACCTACAGAAAGGTATGGTCATCATGCACGTGCGTGCACGTATGAGTAAAAAGTGTAGACAAGATGATATCGTCATTACGCTCATGCAATCACATGCGCACGCCTGCATTGCTTAAATTTGAAATACTTGGTATACTTTTGGGAAAACTTTGTTTACGTCTTAAATGCATAGATTTTGCCTTCTTTGATGAAACGTACAGGGAATATGGCACAAGAAGGGAGTTGGGGAGCGTTTGGGGAACATCTGTAACGGTTCCCGTTACAATTAGCACTAGTTATTATTCTTTTTTCTTCTTATTTCTTCTCCGGTACTTTTTTGTCCGGAAGTGTTCTCAGAAACTGTTCACCAAACTAAGTTAAAACCTTTTTAGGGTTAATGGGTATGTAGTGTAGGTGTGCGGAACGAAGGTCATTTTTTGCGCATACGCCTGCACGTGCGGGCGCGTGAAGTGAGTGAAATGACTGATATACTTAATATGGCCATAACTTTTACATTTTTTGATGAAATGCTTTGAAACTCATTAAATAAAGATATATTTATAGTGTTAATATCATGACACTGTCAAATTAACACGAACTCACGCGCGTGCACGTGAACTTCGCTCTGATTGGCTGAAACAAAAATTTCAATATCTCTTTTGTTTTTTGACGAAATGCCTTGAAACTTTAAACATAGTCATGAACTAGGATATTCTACAATATGATATCAAAAAAATTTCAAGAAATCACGCGCATGCACGTGTGCTGCAATCTGATTGGCTGAACTTTAAAAGGCTATATCTCCTTTGTTTTTTGATGAAATGCTTTGTAATTTCAAACATACACATACTTTAGAATACCCTGCAATATGATATACAGAAAAATTAAAGAAATCACTCGCATGCACGTGTGCTGCAATCTGATTGGCTGAAACTCTAAAAGGCTATATCTCCTTTGTTTTTTGATGAAATGCTTTGTAATTTAAAACATACCCATACTTTAGAATACCCTGCAATATGATATACAGAAAAATTAAAGAAATCACGCGCATGCACGTGTGCTGCAATCTGATTGACTGAAATTTTAAATGGCTACATCCCCTTTGTTTTTTGACGAAATGCTTTGAAATTTAAAACATAGTTTTAATTTAGGATATCCTGCAATATGATATACAAAAAATTCATGAAATCACGAGCATTCACGTGTGCTGCAATCTGATTGGCTGAAACTTGAAATGGCTATAACTCCCTTGTTTTTCAACCAAACAGGATTGGATTTAGAACATATATAAATATAACGAACTCCTACAAAAAGGGATGGTCATCATGCACGTGCACGCACGTGCGTGCATTTGGAACGAGTGAAATAAAAATACACTTAAATGAGTGATTTTTAATACTTTTGGACTGAATGCTTTGATATATAGTATATTTGAATATATAGATAGTGTAGACAAGATGATATGGTCATAACGCACATGCATTCACAATGCTAAAATTTGAATATAATTGGTATCCTTCTGGGTAAACGTTGTTAAAGTCTAAATTACCAGAATTTGTCTTATTTAATGAAGCTTACAGGGAATATGGCACCAAAAGGGAGTCGGGGAGCGTTTGGGGAACATCTGTAACGGTTTCCGTTACAATTAGCACTAGTATAGATATGGTTTTAGGGCACTTACATGTGAAAGCCGGGAAATGAGGGTAGGGTGGTTTTTCTTTTCTTCAAGAACAGCTTATAAGTGCTTTGAAAAGACCGTTATAATATTTATATCGTAAAAGAGCTACCGTACATTTTCCTAGTGTAAAAGTAAGCCGTCAACTGTAAAAGTCGGCGCTCCTCATAAAAGTCCTATACGCGAGTGTACGACACTTATCTTCAAAAAATGTTTTATGCGTTACCAACTGATAATCATACAAAAGTTAACTTAAATATTTATGACTAACTCATGACTAAACTTAACATTAATTCTCCATATGGAATAAAATATGTTGTAAATTGTACTACAACCATGTCCTTATATGCATGTACTACAGTACTGCATTTTTTTTCAATTACAAGGTAAATAATGCGGGGATGGCAAAGGCCATGGAGATATCCAAAGAAACAGAAGAAAACTTTGATCAAATTATGGACGTCAACATTAAGGCGGCGTATCCAAAAGAACTAAAAGGAAATAGAACTACAATATATATAATTGATTCTGAAAATCATAAAAATCCTTGAAAACGAAAAGACATTCATGTAGAGAGTTCCAGGAAATGTTCAACCAAGCCTCTTTCTTTACTCCGCACCAGGATATTTACAGTAGGGAAGGAGGAAATTTACGAGTACTGTACAACAATATATTCAATAAGTAATGTATATTAGATTTGGATACATAAAAATTCCAAGGAACTTTCAGACAATTTGAAACCACAAGAAATTAACAAAATCAGCAGCTTTAACATTTACGACTTTCCAACTTTATACACAACCATTCCCCGTGATAAATAAAAGTATAGGCCTTTTCATTTTATTGTAAGTTGCTTTTTTTAAATTTACTTACAACGTAAATTTACTTACCTTGTCATTGGTTATTTGCAAATTTTGTTAAAAACATTCTGATTGATCACACGTACAAGTGTACTCAGGATATCAGACATTTAAATACACATGCAGTCTATGTAGCGAAAAAATCTTTTAAATTCTTCCTAAGACTTGGTTAGATGAAAAATACATGCATGGAAGCATCTTCAGTTGTGGTTGATTCATGTTCGTTCAAAACGCGACTGGGGTTGGGGCATTTTATATTTAAACATTTCTGCTTTTCTCTAGCCAAAAGTGTTCCGATGAGCGATGTGGTCCGTGGGCTTTTTGTATTTTTTATTTTATGATAGAACCCAGGAAATTGTTCCTACGCTATGTCCAAAGCAGCAATGGATGCATTCACCAGGAATTTAGCTATTGGTATTATTAACCTTATCTTTATAAATTTAATTAATACGCTGTGAAATACTTATAATATTCAGATACTAGTATTTTTGTACACGTGTAATGACTAACATATTATGAAAAAGAATATATTTGTTTTCCAGAATTAGCACCTTTCGGAATACGGGCAAATAGCGTAAGGTACATAAATTTATAAGATGCGCATAAATGTTCATGAATGTCCGTGTAACACTATGCATTGAATTGGCATTTCAAATTTCTAGTATGAGTTTTAGAATTGTTATGCATCAAATCAAATTTCTTAATTTAAAAAAAAGCAATTTGAAACTCTTTTATTATATTTTAATATTTCATTTTAAAAACCCAAATTTAAGTTTTCCAAACAGGTTTAAAAATTTAGAATTTTAGAATGAATTTAAATCAAAATTCAATTTTCCAAAACAATTTTAGTAATTAAATTTCTGACTTTTTTTTTTTCTATGGTTTGTTCAAAAAGTGTACTCTTAACGATCAAGTTCAGTTTCAATTTTGATATTAATTTGTTTTAAATTTTACGTTTATTACTACAAATTTTTTAGAAAAAAGTTTGAGTTCATATTCTTTCAAATAATTTAGCTTATACTACAAAATTATTTTTTTATGCCACAATATTAAATCTTCAAATACAGGGTCAATTGAAGTTTTTGAAAATTATATATTGGACTAAGTAATTTTAGAAAATTAAATTGATAAGTGTTACACGGAGCTAGAAAACGCAAAAAAATGAAATTAAACGTTGACCACTTGAATTTATTAGTAAGACATATAGTTTAATCGATATTATTTATTCTTTATTTGTAGACCAGGACTAACAATGAGTAATCTTGCGAGACATGACATAACAGATGAAGAATTCTTCAAAAAGGTGATTACGAGACTTGTAAACATTCTATAGAGAAGGGTTAATTATAGGTATCTGGTATCTTAGATTAATGAAAGTTGATGATACAAAAAACAAAATGCAACAATATGTGATAGATTTCTCAACGAATAATGGAAAATATTGCCGGGAAACCCTACTAGAAAAAAAATTGTGTGTGATAAAAATACTTTATTCTGAAACAAATTGGTAAACTTTAAAAGATTGTTGCTAAATCGCAAAAATAAGTACCAGGGTCAAAATTCAGATCGGGAAGTGCCTCAATTTCAGTTATATTGTCAAAATGTATCCAAATTCAATACCCTTAATTAAGAACAATTCACTGTTTCTCGGTGTAGGTTGATTATTTAAAAGATCTTTCATACCAAATAAGTTTTTTTTCGAATAAAATAATGCCTTATCAGGTTGCTAGGTTAAGCCGTTTTGCTCTTTGTTCAATAGTATTCCAATGATTTAATTTTTGTGCCTTGTAAAATATTAATTATCTGCCTTTGGTGCATATCGTCGTATATAAGTAAGAAAAATAAATTAAATTACTTTTAAAGAAATCTTAGATATATCTTAAATAACTGAATCAAATTTGGTTGAACAAAAAAATATTTTATTTTGTATTTGACGTTCTTTCAAAGACGTCAAATAAACACTGCGGGATGTACATCCGGTTTAGTAAAATATAATCCAGGATGAGCTATCAAGGTGGAAAAAAGCGCCATGGACGACCGTAGTCGGCAAGCAAATTGGATTTTATAATATAACTTGAATAAATACTTGAAATACTTGAATAAATAAGCACAACACTTCATTATCCAGATGCTGAATTAGTCGCATTTTTTTCGTGAACAAACCCAAATCTTTTTGTAGGTCCCCTCAAAACACGTTGCCATTTTGATTCTTTGTTGAGGATGGGATTTTTTTTCTGCATTTTTTTTTTCGATAAATTTCAGACTCCTGTTGTTTTATCAGTTGCTTTGCATGACATATTGTAATAAAGAGTTGAAATTATTAATTGTAAGAATTCTTTTTAAAAATCATTCTTTTTGATTTAGTCATTAAAATATATCCCCAAACATACAAACAATAAATAATTATATATTCGAAAACTGAATGTTAACTGAATGCTTAGTGAATGTTCAATGAGTTTTTAATGAATGTTAAGATGTGATCCTGTTTCAGATGATGACATTATTCGGAAATGAGAACCCCTCTGGACGGAATGGTACGCCGCAAGATGTGGCCAATGCTGTATCTTTCTTGGCGTCTGACAAATCATCGTATATAACGGGACAGGACATAGTTATTGATGGCGGACGTTTTATTCGATATTAATTTAAAACAATTACTTCACAATATTATGTTTGACTTTGATACAAATTAGATCAGATTGGCAGATATATTCTGGTAGCCACATTGGGCGCTAATTTTTTTTTCCCAATGCTCACTAGCTAGCCTCTTGAAAACTCCAACACATTTTGCTCTAAGTAATGATTACTTACATATATATAGATAGGATCTCGGACAAATGCAATATTCGAGAAATCCTGTCCAAATGGGGAAATTTCGATAAGCCAATTTTTGGCCCATGATGAATTTCAGTTTAGTTTGTTAAATAATACTGATAAATGTCTGTCCTTCATATCGTCGCTGTAATATCAAAATTTTGTAAGTCGATTTTTGGCGCGAAATTTTTATTGCTAATTTGGAATCTGCAATATCGAATACATGTTCCGCCAAAACGTCATGTCTCTAGGCCAATAAGAAAGTGAGATATACAGACGTGTGATAAAAGCGTGTATGTCCATTGGATGCATTTTTTCTTTCTGACAAAAGGTCGTATGTCTCTGGGCACTGACAAGAATGTCACTGGCCGTCTGATATCAAAGTAAAAATTATCATTTTAGTTAAATCTTTTATAATTTTTATTTAAAAATGTGTTCAACATACAAAACAAAGTATATTTGCTTAATAAACAAGGAAATCAATGGAAATATCGATGAAAAGTTAGATGTAAGGTTACTTAATGACAAACTGAATTTCGCAGTTTGTAACTGTTAAACTGCAATCAATTTATGAGTATGTTAATTCATATAATACATTTCAGAGCGTTCTAATATCAGATTCGTACGCTTACAATGCATTGCATGGATTTGTTTCAATACTTTACTGGAGATACGACAATTTGTACAGAAAAACATCCAGGACAGAAAGGAAAACACTAGACATACGACATTTTGAAAAAAATGTTTTTTGTCTCTCCTGAAAAGATGGGATTTTTGACTTACAACAATTTGATATTACAGCGACGATATTTTATTTGTTTAACCAGGATTTAATAATCACTTGACTGGGGGGTTTCTAAAGGGTCTCTCTTAAAGCGCTTTAGACGGTTTAGAAGATTCATTATAATTTTGTTGAATATTTTATATGAATAATATAATAAAATAAAGAAAAAAAATATTTTATATGAATGATAGAATAAAATCAAGAAAAAATTATCAGAGGACATCAAATAATATTAAAGTAGCACAATTATTATTTCATTTTAAGTTATGTTTCCTCTAAAGTAGCTATCTGCGTTGAAAGCTTTATAATTATTACAAAAAAAAATATGTACGCTCTTTTTTTGGTCATTTTAAATTGTTTGCAAGGGTACGACAAACGAGGAAATAAAGTGAAGCATTGTCCTAATAAAAAAAGATTAACATATATTTTGTTCCTTTTCATTTAAACACGGTGAATTTTCAATAACAACAATACATAATATAAAATGCGTAGCGAACGCGTACTATCATTACACTTAAAAGATAGTTAATTAAATTCAATGTTTGTTTTATACTATTATTAAATATATCAAAAGATAAAAATATGAATATGTAACGTGCGCTAAAAAAAACTATTCAAATATGGTGCATGAAGAATCGATGCTTAAAAAAGTATATCAAATATAAAAGCAATATACTTCAAACTATTCTAATTATATTGTGAAAAATGTCGTTTGATCGTGCATGATAATATTCATTCATAAAAATTGGAAGCATACAACATGTACAAATGTACAATGTTTATCCTAGAGATTCATTATCGGAATCCCAGTCTGTATCTAGAGCATCAAGAATAAATTTTTGTAGTCGGTCGAGGTTAGAAGCTTATCGACACTGTGACGTTGAAATTCCAGGTACATGTATCCAACGACTGCAGAGATAAGTGCACAACAACAGACCGTTCTCCCCCTGTTTTTGCATTGACACTACCATCCAGTAGTAGGGGATATGCTAGTTTCATCAAATGATATCCACAGAAAATACATGTATCTTTTTGCTGAAACATGGCGTGAGTGAATATTTGCACTTAGCAAACCTGCATCACCTTTGTGAATTGATAATCTATAAGTTCCATCTGGAGACATGTGTTCCTGTGTATACGATTTTGCCAGGGTTATTTGGTACACTCCGAGGTTCAACGTTTTTAAGTTATATTTCAGTCAAATCTTGGAAAGTTCTGCAAGCAATCCTGGGGCATTTCAGTCCACACTACTCGTCTACTGGCGGACTTCTCCTTTAAGATCCGCTTTTGTAACTCGGTCGAGGTACGCGAGATGAATTTCATTGCGTTTGCAAGAGCGATGTCATTGTTTTTTTCACGTACAAAAAGCGGCCGGAAAGCATTGACAAAAGCACATACTTTTCTTGTATAATCCACTATCCATTTCATTTGACAGTTTGGAAATATCTTATCTAATGCTTTCCATTTCTTTATTCTACCATATGCCGACTCCACGACCCATCTTACTTTTGCTAAACATCGGTAGTGATTTGCCTCCTTTGTCGTGTTGTTTGAAACTTCAAGAAAGATAATATGACATAAAATGGCATTTCACTGTTGATTTCAAGAGAATCGAGAAATCGAGTGGAATCCCGGAAGCCCCTGTTAACAACTTAAATGACATCTTTCTTTAAACAATTCTGGATTTTATTTATATTTTGTTTGATGATACTCTTCAGAATTGCAGTATCATTGCTCATTCAATCGGCTATAAATAAGACCCTAAACGGCAAGAATATAACCATCGGTTTTAACAATCATCGTTGGCTTTACCAGTGGTCTGTGTTTATATCCGCTGAATGTTTGTCTTTGAAAAGCGTAATTACCACTGTTTTGGATACAAATTAACATATGTCCCATCGAATAGAAGAATAGCAATCTGTTTCCCGTTTGCAAGAAGTTTAGACAAGGATCTTGTGTGCACTGAAATAAAACTCTCCCGTGTAATGTGTTTAAATCCTAAATACTTGGAAACAAAACGTTCCATCAAGCAGATTTGAAAATGACACTTTTTGATTTGAAACATGCTGCTTATAACACTTAATGAATTTTTATTTCTTAATTTTGTCAATAACAATTGAAAACGAGGCATGTTCTTGACCTGTTAAAATTTTATCAAGACAGTTTAAGTTTTTCAGTTTTTATGGATATCTACTAAAATGTTCTGAATGAGGGGGGATGGTTCGGAAATGGGGAAACCATGGTGGTTCACAAAATGTGGATGCTGCTGGGAATTTGGACTTGAAATGATAGCTCCGTCTGTTATTGATGTATTTGCCGTTTGATTTGGTGTCTGGTGTATTTGAATTAACTCGGTTCTAACATTTAGAACCTCATTTTAGTTAGCTATTATCTCACCGGCGGAGCTCAAGGAAATGCTTTGATGCGGGCTACAGTTGGAAGTGGGTATATTATTTTGAGCATATAATTTATGTTGTGTTTTCGTTTCGGAGACAACTTTCAACCAGAACCTGTAGATCTTCTATCTGAGCGCCTACGCTTACTTCTGTCATCTTTATTATGTTTTCACTAGTCATTTTGACACTCGTAAGTTTAATTTGGCTTATAATACACTACCCAAACGTGTCACCGCTATTTACATAAACCTTTAACAAAAACAATGAATCAAAATATTGACATACAGTATATCTATAATTGTATAAAAATTTCTGAATATTGAAACAAGGTTGTTCTTAAGTACTGAATTAGTCGATTCTATATACTGAATAAACTCCACGGGTTGTAATTAAACCTGTTCATTCTTATGCAGCACAAAGATGTCATGAATTCACAGAATTGTAAAGTTAAAAGAAATAAAACCTTCTTCCTAAATTCTCCACAATATTAATATACCGAAATAATAATAAAAAAAATTAAAGGCGCCGTTCAAGAGTTCTTACGATAAACCCGAATGATTTCCCCCATGGCTATTACGACTAGATGACTGTATATATGTGTTTCTAGAAAAGTCCAAAAATCACTTGTTTTTTTTTTTAGGGAAAAATAAAAAACCTGGTTACTGTAGATCACTTAATTTTCGCGACGCCTTATTTTCGCGAGATAGTCATTGACTCTTGATTAGCGAGACAAATTTTTCTCGAATTATGGTTATTGCTTTATATAATCTTAGGGAATACTATTATACGCGAGAATTAAATTTTCGCGAGCACACTGTCTCGCGTAATTACGCTCGCGAATAAAAAGTGATTTACAGTACCTAAATTGTCGATAAAATCGGGCAATGAGTACCAAATAAATTTTACAACTAAGTCGTTCAACAAATTAACAAAAAAGATTTTTTTTTATTTTTATAAACAACTATATGTAGCATCGGGAACAAGTCGTTATCTGCAGATTTAAATTTTGAGAAAATGTGGGAAATCCTTGTATGCTTTCTAAAATAATGAGTGAGACCATAACAAGTCCCTTATTACTTGTTCTAGGAAGTGACTGTCAGTCAAATAATTGACATTGTTTCCTTTTTGTTTAGTAGTGCTATGGATTATCCGTTCTTTTTCGATTAAGAATCGGTAATTTGCTGGATATCATTTTTATTCACCGGCGTTATGTATATTTCTGATGCTTTATCTTCATCATTGTCAATGAACTCAGCATTATTTATCAGTTCATCATTTTCAATTATTTGTAAGTAAGTATGCTTAACATCCTTTTCAAGTTCATAGGAATTGTCTTTTATTTCTTCATAAAAAGAAACTTCTTCGTCCACGGATCTACCGTCTAGAGATTCATATGATATTGGACAACCATTTATTTGTTCTATGTCTCCTGAATTATCCTCTTTCGGCGATGTATCCGTATTTGAGTTATCGGTATTTGTTGACATTTTGTGTCGCAGTTTTGCATAACGATATAAAATGACAGCACTTAATGCGATACTAAGCAAAGCGATTGATGAAATAATGGAAACTACTAAAACAACCTGAAAGTAACCAGCTGACGATACTGACTGAAAGGTGTTGTTCAAATAAAGTCTTGTAACAGACTTGTTCTCAGGAAAAGGATTAAATGGTGTGTGCTGCTCATCCTTCGTTATTGATTTCGTGTCCGAAAAATTAAAGGTTTGTTCTGAAAGAGAT